ATTAAAATACTCATGTTTAGGTTCATATTTTTTAGGCTTGAATATTTTATTCTTTGTGTTAAGTAAATAATTTTCTCCATAAATAATAAAATAGTTAAATATTTTTTCCATTTCACTTTTCATTTTAGTTATTGACCAAAAATTCATGGTGGAAGATAAAAGAGTAGTATTTAATAAAATGGTTTCTCTCACTTTGCTATAATTCAGGTAAAAATTAGTGAGAGAATGAGAAATAAGAAATTTGGGTTGTGAGAGAAAAAAAGTGTGAAAAAGAAAAAGAAGAAAGGAGAAGAGAGAAATCGAGAAGAATATCAAAGGAAAAAGGGAAAAAACAGGTGGGTTGCGAAATGTAGGAAGTCATGGGAAGATGGAACCCAACAAAAAGTGGGAGTAAAAAGAGAGAAAGCAGAGGTTTAATGGACATGAACTGGAAAAAGAAAGAGACACTGAACCGGGGGTTGGACTAGCTCTCAAACCCTCAGCATCATAGTAAACTGTCTGTTAATAAAATGCTTTGTAACTGAACTTTTAACTTAGGAACTTCAACTTTATTGACGTTGCAACTGCTGATGTGTTGAGTACTTTGAAATGTAAACAGAAACTTCAGTCTGTTTTAATCTGCTCTCACTCACAAACACAGCTACATTCACACTCACTCTTGGGGCCATGCAATTCCCCGGCATATATTCAGGAGCCAGCATATATTTTATTGGTTTTTGATCTTGTAGACAGAGAAATTTGTAACTCATGAAAGGCAGCATCTTACACGATTCAATAGTGACCCCTTCTGGGTCACTGCCTATGTGCATTGATGGGATTCCCAATTCTAATACCATGACAAACGATTCCACGTGGGTAGGTAAAGGGGTAGGAGAACAGTTTTTCCACAACACTCAGCATGCTCAATGCATCCAGTAATCGGCAATGACATTTTTTGTCCAACCAAATTATTTCCCAGTTTATTCTTACTACCCACTTTCTTCAGAGCATCAGTCAACCTTAAGCCAAAGTGAGTAGGTAAAATTAAGAACAAAATCTTATAAACAGGAACTGAAAACAGATCAGTGAATACAAACCCTCCAAGTAATTGGAGGACTGCAGGCCTCACAAAATAGGGCTATTTCTTCTATGGAAGAGATGACAAAAGAGGGGTCCTGGGGAATAAAATGTAAGCTTAATAGCTCTGTCAAAAGAAAACAAACTAAAACAAACAAACAAACACACAAACAAACAAACTTTAAGACAAATTGGCCTTGGTTACTAACCATGCACTGAAAAACAAGAGCTGAAACTATGCTTGAGAAACCATTTGATCTTTCCTCTGTATAAAACAGAAAACATACTTGTCCTCTATAAGGTAGTTCTGATCATTGGCCAACAGTAAGGTCATGACCTTCCTTCCCTAAATTGTTTCATACATTAGTCAACCGCAAGAATTAGTTTACTTACACAGTGAAACACTCTCTATATTTGTGTATTTTCCTTATTTCCTTTTTATGTGTTATGAGGCTGTTTGATTTTAATAAGTGCCACATCAAGGTGAAACATACTGAGTTTAGGACTTGTCTTTTATCCTCAGTTCAATTAGAAACTTTCATAGTCTTTGATTACATCCTGGTTTGGCTCTATTTCCTCACATAAGTCATCTAATTTCCTAACCCTGACCTTTCCTTTTGGAACCAATGGCTACAACATTGGCTCAATTACCCTTTCTGGTGCCTCTCCCATTTTTGCATATCCCATATCTAGCATTGTAGTGCCAGAGGGGGCAGTTTGTAGAAAAAAGAGTTTTGTTCTCAGAAGACCAAGATGTACGATTTGGATGTGAATCAGCATCCATCCACAACTGATTAACTGTGCAGTTTGGGCATGTATCGTGTCTAGACCTGTTTCCTTTTTGTACAATGAGAATCATAACATCTCTTTGCAGAGTGATCCTGAGAGTTGAACTAAAGTAATGTATGGACATCTCCTAACTCATAATAAAGATTTAAAATAGTGATAGTAATATTTGTTGTTTTATTATAGGAGAAAGCAATTCTTGACTTAAATGTTAAAGAGGGAGCTGCTTTGTTTTATTTTGTAATCAAATCATGACACTCAGACTTCTAATTCCCTGACCAGGGAATCATTTCCAAGGTGTAGAAGTTACCATTTTAAGAATATCAATAAAATAATTTGGGCACTCTGCTGATAAATTTAATTACTTGAGTAAGGCTCTTTATCATTTTTGGTGTCAGCATTCCAATCAGATAAATGGGTAATTAGATCTCTTCTCTATTTATTTCAAATTAAGTTCTAGACGAAAGTAATTTGTTAGACAACTAATCTAATGGAAAAGTTTTTTTAAATAATAGAGACACACAAAATTTTGGAATGATAAACAGAAGGGCTCTAAGGATGAGTAGATGAATAGGTGACATTCTTATATGAAAAAGGGGAAAGGAGAAGTAAACAATGTTGATTCAAGCTATTAATTCCTAATTTAGAGCTATATGAATTAGAAAATGTCTGATAAACTAGCTATTGGTGTAATGAATGAATTTGGTTCTCAAGACCAGTTTCTTCAGACCACAAGTCATAGTCTTCTTTCCTGAGGTCTGAAGGCTAACCCAGCAGTGTCACTAGTCCTCTGTCCTCAGTTTCTGACCTCAAATTGTAACTTCATGAACTTCAATTTCATAAATTCATTCATTCACCTATTAAGTGAAGTCAGTCAAAGAAGTTGTTTTCATAGGTAGACATATTTGTACCTCACCTGGAGTTAAAGTTAATTCCAAATTATTAAGAGAATCCACAGAAGTCATTTTTGCAGAACCATTTTCCTTTTGCTCGGTATTTTTGACCTTGCAGTGTTCATAGGTGTGACCAGATGTGGTGCTTTTAGCCTTGTGGCCATACACAGTCACTCACTCTAAAGTCACCTGCATGGATCAGCAGTCAAGGCAAAGCTTTATACTGATGAATTATGCCTGGCCCATGATTTCAATTTGCAGTGTACCCCTCAGACACTCACTTAAACTGAGCCAGCCTCACTTTTTTCATCTGAAGATATGGGCTGTAACTTGGTGTGATGATAATTGATTTACAATAACTTGGCTAAAAATTTCTAAATAATTTATTTAAACATGTCCCAAATAAAAATACAATATTAATAATTAAAACTTTTTATTAAAATTATTGACAAACTTAGGAATAAAAGGCTGTGTGTATACAATTAGCCTTTATATATATACAAACATATACATATGTTTGTGTGAATATACCTAGATTAGTAGTCTAGGTATAGTGCACTGTTGGTGGGAATGCCTATTGGTGCAGCCACTATGGAAAACAGAGTAAAGTTTCCTCAAAAAAATAAAAAATGAAATTGTCTGATGACCCAGCAATTCCGCTTTTGGGTATATACCTAAAGAAATCCAAAACATTAATTCAAAAGAATATGTGTACTCTTACATTCCTTGCAGTGTTATTTACAACAGCAAAGATAAGGAAGCAGCCCAAGTTCCCAATAGTAGACAGACAAGTGGATAAAAAAGTGGTGGTACCTATATACAACAGAATATTACTCAGCCATAAAAAATAATAAGCTCTTTCCATTTGTGACAGCATGGATGGACCTAGAAAGTATTAAGTCAAGTGAAATAAGCCAGACAGAGAAAGACAATTACCATATGATTTCACTTATATGTGAAATCAAAAGAACAATATAGACCAGGGGTATCAAACTCATTTTAACTGGGGGCCACATCAGCCTCGCAGTTGCCTTCAAAGGGCCAAATGTAATTTTGGCACTGTATAAATGTAAGTACTCCTTAACAGTTAAGGAGAGCTTGGCTCTGCCACTGGGTAGAAACAAGGTGCCAGGTGGATAAAACAAAGTGGAAAGTTGGATTCGGCCCGCGGGCCTTGTGTTTGTCACCTGTGATATAGACAAACAAACAAAACAGGCTCACAGACACAGAGAAGAGACTGACGGTTGTCACAGTGGAGGAGGTTGGGGGATGGGTGAAAAGGTGAAGGGATTGAGAAGTAAAAATTGGTAGTCACAAAACAGTCATGGAGCTGTAAGCATAGTGAGTGTAATTGATAATATTGTAATAACTACATATGGTGCCAGGTGGGCACTTGAAATATCAGGGGGAACACTTTGTATAGTATATGACTATCTAACCATTATGCTGTATACCTGGAACTGAAACGAAGTAATAGTGAAAGTAAACTGTAATTAAAAAATAAAATTAAAAAATAAATAATGCAAAAAGAAATGAACTATAAAAAGAATCTAGATATAGCTATGTGTTTATTTATTTGTTTGTGTGTATGTATACTTCAAGCAAAGTACATAATTTTTTTGCACAGGTCTCAAGCTTATCATAACAGTAGAAATTTATTGTGATTTAAGCATCTTCATCAAAATTATAAAGAATAGAGATTTAGCTGTGAGAATAATTTATACTTTTGTGAGTATCTTCAGTTTTAGTTACAAGAAAAACAAATGATGTCACACTTCAATTTAGATATAAACCACTGAGTTACTGGGGAATTTGGCAGCAGATTATCTGGCCTCCAGTGCCTTCCTTAATCTGTCTTTAAAACACCACTTGTCTGATCTACTGCTTGCCCTAAAGGTTAATGAATTCACACTCACAAAGTACCTTGAGGTCTTCACTAACAGTACTTTGTAAGTATTACAGTTTCTGAAAGGCATATAAATTTCTTTGCCCAAGGACACCAGAACACTTCTTTGGCTGGAGTAGTCTTCTTAGCAAAGTAACATGCTGATATGTTAACACATAATTACGAATAAAATTATCACAAACATGCAATTAACACTAACATGTTCAAAACAGCATGACACATAGTTTAGTTTCCTTGATGCTTTAGAATTCATCTATAGATAAAGCCTGTTTATTTATGTTTTTAAAAAATCGAAAGGGGTTACCTATCAACCTAGTAGTTGTAAAAGATATGATAAATTAAAAAAAATAGGTTCTTACCTATAAGCAATGTTGAACACAGGGCCACTTGAATCATTTTATAGGTCATGATCCAGTTTTTTTATTTTAAAAAAGAGATGTACTTATTATAATTCACACCAAGCAAAGCATCAGGGCACACGGGGACTCTCCAGGAGTATGAAGCACACCTGCACACGCTGGGCGCTGAGGCACGTCAGAGAGAGGCCGTTGCTGGAGGCAGGTTTTTTAAAATATAACTCCTGCCTTTTTACCCTTTGGACTTTCTAGATTGACATTGTACAAGCTCTTTTTATATGGGTCATTTATTTATTTACTAATTCTGTCATTAACACTGACAAATGTGATGTAAAAAAGGTAGAAGACTGGATTGCTGATACATTGCTGGTGAGGATATAAAACAATACAGTCACTTTGGAAAACAGTTTGGCAGTTTCTTGGAAATCTGAGCATGCACTTACTGTACAACCCAGAAACTGCACTATTGGGCATCCATCTCAGGGTAATGAAAACTCACGTTTGCATAACAGCCTGTATAAGCATGTTCATAGCAGCTGTATTAGTAATACACAAAAAAACTGGAAACAACGCAGATGTCTTTCAACAGCTGAATGGTAAACTGATTGAGGTACATCCATACAATGGATTACTACTCAGCATTAATTGTGTAATAAAATTATCCATAGACATAACAACTTGGATGAGTCTCAAGGGAATTATGGTGAGTGACAAAAGCCAATCTCAAATGGTTACTTGCTTGAATATAATCTTCCTGATATGACAAAATTACAGAAATAAAGGACATTTTGGTAGTTGTTAAGGATTAAGGACAGAGGTGGGGAGGTGAGTGTGGTTGTAAAACAGCAATACAAGGGACTCTTGGAGTGGTGGAGCTGTTCTGTATCTTGATCATGTGTGGATATGTGAACATAAACATGGTAAAATCACATAGAAAATAAATACACATCTCTCTCTCTCTCTCACACACACACAGGTGCACACACACAAATGAGTACATATAAGACTGGGGAAGTCCGAATAGGATTAGTAGGTTATCTCAAGATTATACAATATCAGTATCCTGGCTGGGCTGTCACACTGCACTATGATTATGCAGAATGTTAAACGTGGGAGAACTAGGTGAGAGCACACAGGATGTCTCTGTATTATTTCTTACAAGTGTGTGTTTTTAGATATGTGAAAATAAAAAGTTTAATTAAAAACAAAAAAATGTTTAACTGCATGATAAAATTTGTTTATTTCCAATAAGAGAACATAAAGAATAAACCCAGAACTTATTTTGATTTTTCAAACAATTGCTCTTTTCAATTGTATAATGAACAGTTAACTGAATGAATTCATCTTCATATAGTTTATGTCTAACAGCAAACTATGTATTGGTTATGTCAGCCAGTCTCATCAAAATTATGCAAAATTATGCAATTATGCAAACAGGTATGTATAGAAATGTACAAGTAATAGAAGACAACTTTCTTGTTGTCTATTATGGAATCGTAGAGAGTGTTTAGAAACCTGGATCTACTTAGCTAGGAGTTATGCTTCCAACTACTGATGGATTATTTGGGAAGACAGATATCTGGAAATAAGCACAGCAAAATTGTGACAGCTTATCCCACCCGTATGTCCATCTATTAGGGATTTTGTTGGGGCAATAGCCATTGCCCTTGTGTTTATTCAGTGGAGAGGTGTAAATATGCAGTTGTGTAATTGACTAGAGAAATCTCAAGAAAATCAAATACAAAATATTTTGTCACTTGAAAAGCACAGAGCCAAGGAGAAATTCATTTTCCTCTCTTCTCTTTATTCCATCATTCTTCAACTTATGGACCTAAAGTGGGGCTTGTCTGGAGGAGGGATGGGAGAAAGTTTGCATCTTCTCTCTTCTACTTCTCTCACAAAATGAGTCATTAGTCAGATATTTTGGATGGAATTTACAATGCAAGTATAAAATCGTAATAGTTCGTCTATGATGTGTGTGTATATATATAATTCATATATAAAATATATATATTCTGAAATTATATATGTGTATATATATAGTCTCATTTAATCCTCATGTGATTCAATGGTGAAGATATTTTATCATTTTACAGATGAATAAACCTTGGCTCAGAGAGGTTTTACAACTTGTCCCAGGAGCATTCAGAAATTACAGGGTGAAACTCTACAGCAGACGTGGAGTGGGCTGCTTGTGCTCATAGGCAAAAACCAGTGAAAGGAAACAAATCAAGTGAATGTGACCCAGTTTGGCCCACAGGTGAATGTGGCCTGGGCAACTCAGTTTCACAGGAGAGCTGCAAATTTAATACAAGATACTTCATGGGCTAGAATGTGTTGTCTTTCTTGGTGAATGAGACCTTCTCCGATCCCCCGAGTCAGACATGCCTGCTGTTTCTTCCGTCTGCGCATTGTTAGTGCTCATATCCTGTCTCCCAGTGTAATGGCGGTGCGTGTGCATTGCAGTGTTTCCAGCAGATCACATGATCCTGAAGGCTGACCCTGCATCTTCCCGCTATTTGTATGCCCTCAATGCCTAACACTGTGTCTGTCATAGAATAGACCTCAATAAACATGATCGAACTTAACTAAACCAATTGATTCACATGAAACTGTACTGCATTAAACTGAGTCAGTATTTCCTTGCCCTGTTCATTATGAGTAGTCTCATTTCTACTGGCTAAAAAAAGCAAGTATAATGTAACAGTTCTGTTTTCATGCTGAAGTTTGGGTTTTAGTGTCCCCCAAAACTTGTCTCTTCTTACGATCTGTAAAAGAAAAGAAAATGGGATCTATAAAAATTGGCAATCTTAATTATAAAGACAGAGAGGTGCTCTTTGGAATAAAATTGGAATATCTATCTTTGAAATATAGAAGGATCAAGTGGCATGAATTAATGAAGCTCATCAGTGGACTCTCTACAATGTTGATGCTTTATATTGAGAAATTATAACTTTAATATGATATGTAGAACTTGGTAAACTCCCATTGTCTCTTCCATATCAATGAAGTATAAATGCTAGAAGGAGGAAAATATATATATCAGATCAAATATTAAAAAAATGTAAGAAGAAAAAATACTTTCTACAAAGAAGCAGGCTGAACTTCGTTTCTTCTCTGACTCATGCCACCAACGTAATCGGGCCCAATAAACTACAAAGCTGTAAAGAATGAAAGGACTCATTTATAAAATTCTGATAAGAAGTGGCAGAGGGTATGGTGCAACCTGGCATGATTCAGTGATATCATCAACATCAGCAAAAGGTGAAGGGGCAGCCAACGTGTTGAGGACAGGACAATAACTCTTGTAAACATTGTACTGAGCTTTCAACTGCATTCAACCCATTGAAAACAAGCTGGGGATAACCCCTAATTTTTATGGAGTTATTTAAGATTCTTGAAGAATTGCTACATGAAAAAAATTTGTTTTTTACTATAGTATGTGGCAAAGGATTCAATTTTACACTGATTTTACTGCAGATAGTTATAATTTGTAAGCCAGAATATAATGTGCCATCACTATCATGTCAAATCTCCTAGGTGTGCCGCTTCTGTCCTAGAATATATCCAATATGCCCTGGTTGTTGGCTTACCTGTAGGCGGAGAATGACATGGCAACTACAGCCCAAGAATGAGTAAGGGTTTCTGTAGAGCCTTGTGCTACATGCAGAAAGTGGCTCTTCAGTGAGTTGCAAGATGTCAGATTCAGACCCAGTTGGTACAGTGCAGAAACTACTTTTGAATTTTTATGTGTATGAATTTTGTTTTTCTTTGGAAGCTGGAGAGTTAAATTTTTTCTCAATCTCTGAATGGAACAGAGCCTTGCTGAGTGCAAACAGGAGGTATAGTCTCTAACCTTTCTCCTCTTCTTGAGTACATTATACTCCTTCTTACCATCAACACTTGAATGTTACTCTCAATCAGGACGTAGGGGCATACACCCACCATATACTAAATAGGAGCTGGATTCACGAGGGGGAAATTAGCTAAAATCTTAAATTTATTCTGCTTTTGTGTTAATTTGTAGTTTGACAGCTACAGATTTAAAAACTTGCAATAGCTTGAGATGTCTTAGCTTTAATCTCTTTTGGAAATGTGATTTAACATATGCAGAATAGACTTCTCTTTTACCAGATGCAGGTAGTTCAACAGCTTTGAATTGATCCTACCTGGTTTGGGAAGAAGGGGGTTCCCCATTTAGTGGGGGCTCGTTGTCATCTTGAGATCTAGGTTACACATATGGTCCAGGGTTTCCTTCTCCCCACTCCTTCCCATTGATTTGCTAATTTGTATACCCACCACAGAATAGTGTAGAAAGAAAGACAATGAGGAATTTACAGACTATCAGGTATTACTTATTCACTCAACAACTATTTACTGGGCATTTCCTATGTTCTGGGCACTTTCAGAATCTGTCTATTTTGAACACATTCAATATACACTATTCCAAACACTAGAAGTGCAAAAATATATCAGACATTGTTTCTTGTGTGGGAGAAGATACTTTTAGGAAAAGTATCCCAGTGAGCTGAGTTGGAGTTTCCCAAGAAGAAAGATCCAGTACAGGAAGGAGAAAATTCCAGGGAAGGAAACATCATGTGTAAAGATCGAGGGGCTTAAATGGACAGGGTACATTAGTCAGCCATTATTTGAGGACCACTGTACTAAAACATTCTTCATGTTACTGATATTCAGTAATTGCAGTGATTTCTATCCTTGTCACTATAAACAAATTGGAGTCATTTAAAGATGTATCATTAATACAAATGTATACAGTCTAGCAGTTTAAGTTAAAAAATGTCTATTATATAACAGTTGTCAGAATCACAAACTTCTTGATTAAGCTTTGAGATATGCCAAGGCATTTACCTCATTATACACTCAGTAATTGAGAGTTGACAATATATCAGCAATGTGTTAGGTTTTACACAGCACAGAACTATCAAAGGACCCTGACCTATTGGCTTCTTATCAAAATGCAGCCTATCATCTGCTAAGTCTTTCATGCTTCACAAAACTAAAACCAAAGGAAGCATTTCTGGAAATTCACTGCAGAAGTGAATGGAGCCAGATTTTCTCTGCAGGTAGCTCGGTGGGCATTAGTATTAGTTCCGTGGGGGAGCAATTTCTTCCCATGATTCTGGTAATCTCAGAAGATAAACTTGATGATC